CTACCCAACTTGTTAAAAACTTGATATACAAGATGCTGAAAAAAATAAAATAATTCTGTGAAGCACTCATTGTTATGTCTACTGTGTGACAGAACTTAAAGAAAGGGATAGAAAATTAGTGGACAAAACTCGGGTCCTTGTATCTCAATGTAGTAAGGAAATACGCACTATCATGAATGTTTTAATAAAAAACCTTAGTAAGCACGGGTAAAATATCACAGGCTGTGATTCTAGTTCTGGCGTGGGTCTCCAGAGATTGTCACAGTTTAGTGGCCTATGGAATAATAAATAGGGGTATGGTACGTAGAAAAGGAAGGAGAGATTTTAAGTAAAAAGAAACAATTCTTGAAAAAACTATCAGGAAAATATTAGTTCAGGGATAACATCTAGAAATATATGAATCCTAGATTTCAGGGCCTTCTGCTTGGATAGTCCCTTTCTATATCTTCATGTGTTCTTCACCAAAGAAGTAGGGGCGTCATAAAATCAGGGAATTGGAGGCATGAATCCTTGGCTATCATAGTGGTCTTGTCACTGTAGATGGGGCTGGGGCTCTCAGCACCATGTCTACCTCTGCCTGGACTTACATCAGTGACTAGCCCACTTTACATCTTATTAAGCATTTCAGTTGTATTTTAGACCCCCCAAGGAAATGACTGGAGTCAGATGCTGTTCTGCATGCTGCTTGCAGTAATCTGTCGCCCATTCTCAGGATTATTGTGGTGGGACAGTGTGAAAGTGGGGAAGGGCTGGGGATTAGGGATTGAGCTCAGTGGTGCCACACCTTCCTTGCAAGCACAAGGTCCTGAGTTCCATCCCCAGCATATGAAAAAAAAAAAAGGGGTGGTGGTGAGGCCCATGAGAGTTTGCTTGAGCTTTAGTGGACTAGGGTAAGTAAAAGAGCAGGAAACTCAACTGGGATTGCTTCTGAACTAGAAAGAGCACATACTCAGAACCAAACACATACTACAGAGAATGTCATAAGACATGAGTTGTTAAGCTAAGAGAAACTTTTATATCAGCAGCAAAAAAAGAAAAATAGATTAACTATGCTAGGAGAAATTCAGCTATTTAGTTAAGTCTACAGGAAATAGTAAAAATATTGCAAGCGAAGAATCAATCAGTTTGCAGCCCCAACCATTAGGAAAAATGATATTAAAATGTATGATAGGACAGACTGGGGATTTAGCTCAGTGGTGCCACCATCTGCCTCACAAGTGCAAAGTCCCGAGTTCAATCCCTGGTACAAAAAAAAGGTATGATAGGACAATAGTTATTAAAAATGATAATATTCTACATTTTTGGTGGTGTGTGTCAGATTCTTTTTGTACCAGGGATTGAACTCGGGACCAAGTGCAGTGCCACTGAGCTAAAATCCCCAGCCCTCAGAATTTTAAAATAATTTATAGTGACTATAATTTTGTGATTATAAAAAATCATATGTTACAGTAGAATGAGCCAAAAACAGCCCAGGTTCTCACACATGACAAGGAAAGAATTTTCAAGTGTACACCTTGTAGTAAATAGCTGCGTTGAAGATCACAGGATAGTAGCAGCAGGATCAAGAAGAGAAAAAGGAAACAAGGACAGAGAGAAAACAATCCTCAATGAGTACTAATGCCCTCAGCTTTCCAGTATTCAAAGAGTCAGAGTCTAACTCCACCTCTAACTCCAGGTGCCCCCTATTGTAGTCAGATTTCCCCACCCCCAACCCCACCAACTCTAGGGCCTCCTATTGTGGTCAGACCGCTCTGACTCCAGCTGCCTCCCATTCCAACTCTCTCTGGTGTGGATGATCTGCCTCCTCAGGCATCATGACCTCCTTAAACATGGGTAATTATTAGGGTGGTGTATGTTTATAGTTTAAAGAAGGGAAGGGAGTGGGGTCCCTCACCTTCTCTGTTTCTATACTACTTATGATGCAGATGGTACCCACACAACCAGAGCCAGCCTTCCCAAGATCCCCAGCAATGGGCAGTTCGGCAGAGTGTGAGCCCTAAATTCAAAAATCAAAGGTGGGGTTTGCAAGGATGTGTGTTTAATGCACATGCGCACTGTTCTTCCTCTCTGCCTTCTTTCTTCCTCTTTTTCTCTCTCTTAAATTCAGTTAAGTAGAAGACAACACAGTCAAAAAATAGGCCAAAGGTATTCACAAAAGGAGATATATGAATGGCCATTAAGCATGTGAAAAAATGTTCAATGTTGCTGGTCATCCCAAAAAGACAAATTCACACCATCGTAAGATAAGACTTCAGTGGCTCAAGTTTAAAACATGACCGAAAGTTCCAAGTGTTGACAAGGATTGTTACAATCTGGACCCTCATTTGTTGTCTGTTGAAATGAAAACCAGGGATAACCAACTTAGTGTGACAGTATGGCAGTGTCTCATATGTCAAACACATTGATCGCATGACCAAGCAATGTCATGCCTCCATGTTTAGCCCAGAGAAAGGAATGCCTGTGTCTACACAGGGACATGCACATGAGAATACTCCTTAATCCTCCCAGCTGGAAACTGCCAAAGGGTTGCAGTATATTTACACATGGAATGCTAGTCAGACAACAGAAAAGCAAAGGAAAAGGTGTGTGCAGTAAGTGGATGCATCTTAAAAACTGCATGGGAAAGATGATCAAAGATTATAAACCATGCAATTCCATGTATGTGAAATTCTACAAAAGGTAAAACTAGGTGGCTGCAGTTGGAAACAACAAGAGACAGGAAGAGACCCGTTAGAGGAAAGGTATATATATCTTGGTTTGGTAGGGTCTGTATAATTACCAGAATTCACTAAACTGTACATTTAAAACAGATGAATTTTATAGAACACAAGCGATGCCTTAAAAAAAAAAACTCCCATCGGCTGGTTGTTTAAGCACCTTTCAACCTGTTGTCCCCCTGCATTGGCATAAGCAGACCTCATTGTTGGAAACAAGGTCAGTCCAGGCTTTTGGCTCTCTTTAACTCAGAGCTGTGGCTCCAAATGACATTGACCGATTTCTAGTGGGCTCCATTGCACGTCCCAGTCGGAGGCTGACGGAAACAAGCTTTTGTTTCTGTCGCTAATGATAGGAGCTCCGTTGGATTCTCTGCCAGGCCATGTTGGTTGTCACTGCACCCATTGAAGAAGAGAACGGAGCAATAATGAACTGGGTGTTATCGGCTCACAAATAATTCATAATAGGCAAACTAGGACGGGAACAGAGCTTTTTTTGGCTAAGGAGGTTGCATGTCACTCTTTAAAATCTAGGCCAAAAAATTATTTAGAATGCATAGACAGTTGCTCAGAAAGTGAAAGTTTCTTTCTTCTCTCTTGTGTTTGAATGCTGTACCTTTTACCCTGAGCTAGCAATAAGGACCTACCTCAGCATCTCTGTGCCACACCTGCCACCAGCCTGTGATGTGAGACAGTTTAGCTAGGAGCAAGGACTTTACAGAAATCCCTTAATCCAAAACCCAAGAGCCAACAGGAAAGAGGCAGAAGTCAGAGAGGCAGAAGAGGAAGACCCTCAGGAGAGACTGGTGACCATGCATTTGTGGTGGGCTTTGAACAATTGCTCTTATGTGGTCAGGAAACAGCTCCCAGTGAGAGAAGCCAGTGAAAGAGGGACTGGAAATGTGTGTATTGAAATAAAGACAGGTTGTGTTGTCATCAGAGGCAAACAGTAGGAATGGTTATTGTCATTTAGGTAAACAGTATTAGGGCGTATCCCTGTGTTCCTAAGGGCAAACGGTCTTTACTGACACCAATACCTATAGACATGGATTCCTGCCCCAAAGAAGGGGAACCAGTCACCTGCACCTGCTATCCAGACCACATTCTCCAACCATAGGACCCTTCTGACAAGGGATCAGCTCCCCCAGGAAACTTGACCCTGGGATCTGGGCTTCCTAGACCACCAAGCTGACTATGTGGATGACTGTGCCACGGTGGCCCCTGTTGCCTCTAAGGGGGCTGCTCTTCTAGGACAAGTCCATCTTGGCTGTACTCAGGAGGGGTAGAACAGCTTTTTCAGCCCTGTGTCCCCCCAGAATGGTTGACAAAAGGGATTTGATTTGTTGCTAAGAACCATGGCTGGTGAGCGGCACTGCCCCTGGGCTTCCTCCATCACCAGGTCTGATTTGATAGTGTTAGAGCCCTGACTCTCTGCCTGATGCCTGTGGAGCCTGGAATTCCTCAGAGGTCACTCTGCTAAAGGTGGCATGACATTTTTTAAATAGACTCCATGTTTTATTAAAGCACTTGAGGCTCACTGCAAAACTGAGTGAGAGGTACAGAGATGTCCCGCATACCCTGTGACCCCATGGACACACAGCCAGCCTGCGGTTGCACTGTTGTGACTGCCTTGATGTCCTGAATCGACTCAAAACATCTATCATGCTCGTTTTGTCTTTGGGGAAGAGCCAGATGTTGTGCCATGCCAAATCCAGTGAGTAAGGTGGATGAGGACACAGCATCGTGTGTTTACAAGCCTGCCTTTCTTTTGGATGGCACAGCAGCATTCTCCATATTTTCTACCGCATCTTGTAAAGACTTTCACAAGGGAGGACTTTCAGATCTGCTGCAGAAAGTGGCAGGAACTGTGGGATATGTGTATTTGAAGTGAAGGGGAGAGTTTTGAGGGGGATTCGTAGCAATGTGTCACCTGTAATTTTTTTTTTCAGTTTAAACAGAGACTGTATTTTTTGCTCACACCACATAGTTGAAATGAAATAGTATGTGGCTTTTTCAGTCTGGCTTCTTTGACCTACTGATAAGCATTTGAGTTTCCCCCACATTTAAAGTGCTGTTCACCTCACAGCAGCTGCACACAGGGCCCGTGTCTATCAGCCCTGAGTCTGCAAGTCTAGCACAACATTTTTGTCCCCCACTCCTCAGCTCTGACACCTGGCTGAGGTCCCTTCCTGAAAATCTTTGCTAAAGTGATCAAGATAGAAAAGGGCTCAGATAGAAAGCACCTGTTTCCTTGCAAAGCCTTAATGAAGCACAATCTGTTTCCAGAGCCTCTCGAAACAAGTCTGAGAAGAAGCGTCGGGACCAGTTCAATGTGCTCATCAAAGAGCTCAGCTCCATGCTGCCCGGGAACACACGCAAGATGGACAAGACCACTGTTCTGGAGAAAGTCATCGGCTTCCTGCAGAAACACAATGGTAAGGGCCATACTGCTCTTGGCTTCTGTCCCACTCACCCCTTTCCCGAAGGTAGCATTGTCAGGCCAGTCCTCCTGGGAGCTTTCTCCTTCTGGCACAGCAATTCCTGTCACTTGAGAGCTTCCCTTTCCAAGGCCCCAACCTCCAAGGCAGTCCCATGCCCAGAAAGCTGGGGTGAGGACACTGCCTTCCCAGGCTGCCTGGTCAGCCAGGAGACATCCAGAACAGCCTCGTGGTGGCCCCCAGCTGGAGCAGGTGATATTCCTAGTGGGTGGAATCACTTTGTCAAGAAAAAGCTCTATATGAAGGTCCTGGGTTCAGTCCTTGGTATTCTCCCACATGCACTCAAAAAAAAAAAAAATCCTGATAAGAAGAAGAAGCTTCCCCAGGGTCTCCCTTTCCTATCCACTTTTGCTTTAGGCAAATGGATCGTCTTTTCTGACTTCCTCTACTACAGAAAGGTTTTGCCTTTTGGGATCTGACAGCTGAAAGAATGCATTTCGCCCATGATCCATGAGCAATCATCTATTCTTCCAGCCCTCTGGCTAGTTTGTGTTCATGGGTGGATACTGTTCTATCCTACAGAGTTGCCACCTGAAGCCAGCCTTGAACTTGTGCCCTTCTCAGATCCCCCTTTCCTTTTCACTCTCATCAAACCCTTTCACTTCACTATGCTGATCTCACCTACCCTGCCACTCACCTTGAATAGTACAAAAATTTTTTTAATGCTAAAGAATAATTGAGAGCTATTAATAAGCAGGAAGATAAGAATTCTCTTTGCTTTAACCAAGACACCAAACGTAATAGTCAGAAATGTCAGAATTATTGAGGAAGTAATTACAGTTCTCTTGTGCTCACCATAATGGTACTGCTCTCCTGAACATTGTCTAAGATTTCAAGCCAGAGGGCACTGCAGGGACACTGGGAAGTTTCATTATACTTGTTATTCTTTCGTTATTTCCTTGATAATAATGTACACCTATTAAGAATGAGACAGGGATGATGGTTCCCCTCTTGTTTTTCCAGTACTGTCCAGGGGAGAGGAAAGAGCATGTTAATTGCTTTTGTTAAAAGATGGGGAAGACCAATCAAGCAGGATTGGAATAAAGTATTAGCAGTATTTTATTGCCCAGGTAATTTCATTGAAATGGTTATATTTCCTAAATGATTTGGCCAAGTGAACTAGCAGGTTGATTTGATGGCCAAGATATTTTGTGCAAATTACTCAAAGTAGGTCAGTGCCACCAAGAAGCAGAACAGCTGTTAAATAGGACAGCTGGGATCAAGTTCATCAGTGTGACATTTATTCAGGGATCTGTCCACCACGGCATTACAGAATTGTCAAATCAGGGCCCCGGCCCGAACAGGTCAGCAGCAATTCAGCCTGCTCTCACCAGGAGGGCTGGCCTTGTCTCACCCTCTTCTACAGGCAAGGCCAGCAGTTTATGGCCCATTTCAAAGCAAGCAGGATCCTCCAGGGTCTCACTCATCCTGTGACTCCATATACTCAAAAGCAGGCAGAAAATCCATTGGTTTAAGGCAAAAAACAAATACATGGTTTGATCGAAATATATGGCAGTTGTTTTCTTTTTAGTGTATTACAGTAAAGCACACTTTGCCATGAATCCCCCTCAGAATCCTCCCCCTAGCTTTGAATACACTTATCCCATCACACTTGCCACTTTCTGAAAGCAGCTCTAGAAGTCTTCTTTCCCGAGTGTCTTCAGTTGCAATGTCATCGCTGCTTCAATGTCCTGAATTGATTCGTAACTATCTTATGTGGCTATTTGACTTTGGGAAGAGCCAGCATCCACAGTGCCAGATCCAGTGAGTAAGGTGGATGAGGACACAGTGTCATGTGTTTACGAGCCTGCTTCCCAGTTAGATGGTGTTAGGCAGCAGCATTTACTACAGTTTTGATCACACCTTGTAAAAACACTCAAGAAAAAGGAGGTCTGGACTTGCTTCAGAAAGTGGCAAGAATGATGAGGTAAGTGAGCTTGAAGCAATGTTTTTAGGGGATTTGTGGCAGTTAATGTCTTTCACTGTGATAAAATTTTAATTTAAACATTCACTACATATTTCGATCATATCCTGCTCTCACTTCCCATCACATCCACATAGAAATGAGCCCCACAAGCGCACAGATTGAGAATCCCGAGTCTCCGCATTTATCTGGTGTCCCTGTGAGCCCAACACTGTGCTGGAGGCTCTGTGTTTCCTAACTCCCCTGAGCATCACAGCAGCCATTTGCATCCGTCCCATTACACAGATGACACATGGAGGTACGGGAGATTGAGTCACCCAGTGGGACAGCCAGGAGGACATGGACTCTAAGCCCAGCAGTGTTGTTGTTATGCCCTTTCAGCAGGAGAGGTGGCATGGGGTACTTGGAGACAGTTACATCGTAGCTGCATTATTGCATCCATCTAGGCTGTTGGTCTTCATCTGTGGCTGTCCATTAGAATCATCCAAGCAGCTTCTGAAATAATCCATAGAGCCAGGTAAAGCCCCACAGAGCAATGCCCCCAGAACTTTCAGGTGTGAGGGGGAAGTGTGCAGGAACCAGCTCCTGCCAGCTTTAGGGACAATTGCTAAATTTCCAGGAGTTTTGCAAGCCAGTTGCATCAATTTGGTAACTCACAATCAACCACAGTGGACGTATTTGCACAGAAGTGGGCAGTGCTCCAGATCCAGGGCTTTTTGTGAGAAGTAGAGAGCTGAGTACCAGCAGACCATTACGTAAGGCCCAGCATCAGTATTTCTAAAGGTCCCAGGAGGTTCCATTTCGCAGCCAGGACTAAGAAGTTGGGTTTGCTTCTGCCTTCAGGCTAACAGCAGACCACAGGTAAAAAAGGAAAGGCAAATAGTTCAGGTAGTTATAAGTATTTAGCTCTTTGCCCACTAATCTTTCAATCATCCCTTTTTCTTCTCTTGGGACATATATCTTGATCCTGGAACACACATTTATTCTCTTTGAAGCCGTCCAAATCAAAGTAAGAATCTAGCCGTGCCTCTTTGTAGTGAGATTTTGTGTCAGTAGTTTCTCTTATAAGAGAGAACCCCCCTGAATTGTGTAAATAGTGGAAATATTGGACATTGCCATCTACATCTATCCAGATGGCTACACATCATCCACTTCCTGTGTGAATAACCAGTTGGTTCAGTATAACTTGGTCCCAGCATCAAATCCCATTCTCCCACAGGCCTCTTCAGTATGTCTGCATTCACAGCCAGCAGGTGGGACGGTAAGGCTGCAGAATACGGGAAATGTCCCTTGATCGGGCAGTGTTCACCAACCCCTGCGGCTAGGTTTCTGCCCACTTTCTGGCTCATCTTTGACCACATGCAAGATGCCCTGCCCTTGTTCAGACCTAGGGCAGCAATTGTAGGTGAGCATTTTATAACTCCAGGTTCTGAGTAGAACCTGGGCAGCTGACTCTTTATTGCGAGGTTTTCCTGTAAAAATGGCCCCCAGTTGTTCCTCCTTCCTTGCTATTTAGAAGTCACTCTGATCAAACATCTTTGTTAATCCTGCCCTGCCACCTGTAGCTTATGACATTGGTGCTGTCAGGTACCGGGGAAGACATGATTCTAGCCCTGAAGTTTGGTTCCCAGTGTAACTTTTTTTTTTTTTTGGCTTGCTTTGAGACATCTTATCTAGCTTACATCTTTTTGATGTGCTATGGATCGAGCCTTAACTTTCTAGGACTATAATCAAGCCTTAATTTTCCAAGACTATAATCAAATAGTTGAAATACACAGTGAATGAGAGGCTGCTCTCAGGGCTGTTGTGTTCATGTTGAGAAAGCTTGCCGACATTCAAAGTGATCAACAAGTTACTTATGTCCAAGCAATGGCTTCTTCTTTGCCCTTCACCAAGTTGAATGGCCCTCTATCTAAATGAAATTTGGGCTGGTGGAGAGACTCCTCTCCTGATGCTACTGGTCAGGAGAGTTTTTCAGATGAGTGTACACGGTGTGATCCAAAACTACAGTGCATGTTTAAAAACAATTTTAATTGATTACAGTAAAAGAAACATTGCCATGAATCCCCCTGAAAATACTCTCCTCATCTCAAACACACTTACCCCATCATGCTTGTCACTTTCTGAAGCAGTTCTGGACACCCTCTTTCCTGAGTATCTTTACAAGGTGTGATCGAAAATACATTGAGTACTGCTGCCAAGTGCCATCCAACAGAAAGGCAGCTCATAACCGGATGCTGTGTCCCACCTTATTCATTGGATTTGGCACTGTTCAACTTCTGCCTCTTCCCCAAAATGAAAGTAACCGTGAAGGGCAAATGTTTTGAATCAGTTCAGGACATTTGAGGCAACCACAACAGCAGAGCTAAGCACACTCAGGAAAAAGAACTTCCAGAACTGCTTCAGAAAGGGGCAAAAATGATGGGTAAGAGTGTCTGGGAGCAAGGTAGAGTATTTTGAGGAGGATTAATAATAATGTGTGTTTTGTAGTAATATAATTTTTATTGTACCTCATTTGTTTTGGGGAGAAGGGAGAAAGTGCTTATGGATTCCATCTTTTTTCTACGTGATCAAACTGTGGCAGTCATTTGTGTGAAGACTTGGGAGTTTCACCCTCTCTCTCCTGCCTGGGCAACACTCCAGGATGCACACTGGTCAGGATGTGTGTGTGACACCTGCCTCTGCTTCCTAGCATGCATTTCACCATATGCATCTTGGCACCCCGCACTGTGAGGTAGCCACACACTCCGGCCTTCTGAAGTCGGCTCTAGTCAGTGTTATTGACCACCTGATGGCCAGCATGGTTTCCTCTCCTGGATTTCTTCCCATATTCAGTTGCCAACAGCTCTTAGCATCACTTTTGTATTCCTTTAAAACCATGAAAGAACAACAGCTCCAATCTTTCACAACAACAGCTGTGAGTCGTTCTTTCAAACACTGGAAGGAAGAAAATTTCCTAGTACAGCTTGGCACTGGCAGAAACCTTAGATAATGGGTAGAAGGGGTAAGAGTTTATAGTCACATGTGTAACTGGGCCCTTCCCACTTGCTTGTTTATGAGAACCTGCAGAGTTCACTCAGATTCATTCATCCACACAGCAGAATTTATCACGCTGCTCTACCTAAGAGGGGCGCCAACAACATGGGTGCAGGGCCAGGCATGTGGCCTGGTTCTGGAGTGGGTGCTTAGAATGCATGAGACCCTGGGTTCTATCTCCAGCACTAAACAAAGAAAAAGAAAAAAGTGCAAAGGAGAAAGCCTTGAAATCTTTCTCCTAAAGTGGATAGATTAGCTGCCTGAACAATTTGCATTTCTCCAGGAAGTTGTTCAGCAGGCGAGTTTTATTCCCTGGGGTTTAAGTCATGAGCTTTTATAGTTTTTTAAGCACTGAGAAAATAATCTCTAAAGAGACCTCTTGCCACATAAGGTGGAGCAAAGTGTTGGTTTAAGATGAAGAATAAACAGGAAAAAGAAACTCAAATATATAAAGATACCACATTTGTGCTATCTGTAATATTCTTATCAACAATAACTTCATAATAAAACAAACCATGTTTTGAAAATTGCAAAAGAGCTGGAAGATGTAAAGGGTCTTGTGTAGGCTGATGATTATTCAATTGACAAATGTGACTAACACTTCCAGTACAGGGTGGTTACATAAAATGGGTGTAGTTTAACCCCACAAAGTTTTGAGAAGAGTAAGTGTGGTCCCTAAAAACAATTAAGTCATGTTCAGTAATGGAAATGCTGAAAAATCTGTTATGTTCTGCAAGACACAGTGAGTTATCTCCTGTAAATGTAGATATTTCTGGAATTTTGTAAGGTTGTTCCTCATCTCCTCTTCTTCCTCCTCCTCCTCCTTCTCCCTCCCTTTCCTCCCCCTCTCCATTTTCCTTTCCCTTGTCTTTTTCTTGTAGTGCTGGGGATCAAACCCAGGGCCTTACAAATGCAAAGTATGAGCTGTACCATTAATCTACACTCACAGTCCTTGGAATTCTGAAAATCCCAGGTCTCTACAGTATTTGGCTTTGCCTTGACCATGAAGCAGCAATTTAAAAAGATGTCTGCCATCCCAGTCTTTGCTCCCATTGCCTTGATAAGTGGCACCTACTTAATTTGAAGGGCATGGTGCCACCTGCAAGTGCCAGGCACCACACCAGGCTAAGGGTGGGGGACTCTTTGCCCAAAAGCTTCACTGAAGGGTTCTGAGAAGGTCAAAAGTGTTTTTGAGCCCATTACACCCAGAGTTTAATTAAGCTGCGCAGAGGCTTGCGCAAAACCATAGAGAAGTAACATGTGTTTTATTTGTTCATTCCAATTTCTAGGTGCCTTGAACATAAAAGCTTTTTTGTGTTTCATTTTGTTTATAGAAGTCTCCGCACAAACGGAAATCTGCGACATTCAGCAAGACTGGAAGCCTTCATTCCTTAGTAATGAGGAATTCACCCAGCTGATGTTGGAGGTGAATGCCCTTTCAGATTACCTTAATCAAATGCGAATATATTTATTTATTTATTTATTTTTGGTACTGGAGAATCGAACTCAGGTCCTCGCACTTGCAAGGCAGTCCCCAGAACCACTGAGCTAAATCCCCAGTCCTTGAATGCAAATTAAATTGTCCCTACTTGTCCCTGATAAGCCCCTGAGCCCAAAGAAACAATGGGCCTTAACTGTGGAAGCAGTTCTGGAAATAGATAAGGTCCAAGGCTCTGCCTGTGATTGCTCACATCTTGATGCCTGAGTTGGGTGATAGATGCATGAATTCCCAAACTGAATGTGCTTGTGGCCGAAGTAGCTTCCAATTGGGGCAGAGGCAGACAGAGGAGGGAAGGAGAGGAAGGCACAATCACAATATTCTGTCACTGGCCCACAGGTATCCTCTTCAGGATGCAGTGATTATATTTTTCCCTTAGTAGAAACATTTGAAAAAGCAAGTTTTCTTTTAAAGCTTGCTTTTGCCTTGAGCTCATATCACATCAGTGTGGCACTCGGGTGAAGCCAGGGACCTTGAGCCTCTGCTCGGCCCATGCTCTTGCTGCGCTAAGATGCCCATGTTCCTTCCTCTGCGTGGGGTGCCTGGCTCACCTGTGGGGTCGTGTGTGTGGAAGCTTGGCCTGCCTGGCAAGTGGCCTCCCCCAGCATTGTACATTTATCCATGCGTGGGGGTCTGCGGGACAGGGGAGGAGTCACTGGCCATGTGCTGGGAAAGGCTCCCACCAGCTGACCAGAAAATGGCTTCTTAGAACAGATCTTTCTGTATCTCATCTATGCGCCTTTACCAGACTGATATAAACTTCACTTTACATAGATTATGCAGAAAACAGAAAGTACTGGAATAAGAAAATGCCTGAATAAAGATGTCCAAATATTATGAAATATAAATGCATTAATGAACATTTGCATAAAATGAAAGCTGCTTAACTCTACACAGGAATTATATTTAAAGAAAATACAGAACTTTCTGCAGAGGCAATGCATTTTAAGTATGTTAAATTTAAAGCAGCTTGGGAGATATAATGTTGACTTAGTATATCATTGTGCTAACTTGATGTACATCACTTTATCTTTCCATTCTTTTGGAAAAGTACTTAAAACACATGACCTCCTGGCATCACTGTCTTTTTTTTAAGAGTCAGTAGCACACATAGCCTTCTTCCCTTTTTTCGGTGAGTTTCAAAGTAGCAAAAGAATTTGAGGAAACCAGACTTTTATAAAGTTAAAAATGAATGCATTTCAGGGCTAGAAGGCATGACTTTGATTCAAGAGATTGGAGATTCTAGAGAAAGATACTCAGATTTCTATGGGTAGTCTGTGTGCTCCTTATGCACCTGCTCCAGGTGTAGACTGCTTGAGGCAGGCAGAAAGGAAGGCACACAGATACATAAACTGGCTCAGAAATGTAGCCTGTATAACCAGCAGGCTCTGTGAGTCACTGCTCTGGGCTGGAAGCCCACCAACCAATGCTTTTGAATGATCTCAGACAGGGCGAGATCTCTACTCCCCGCCATTCTTCAGTAGACGCAGACCTGGTGCTGTGACCAGGGCTCTCCTGTCTCTTCCTCAGTGGCCTGAGATACCAACCCCACCCCACGGGTCCCTCACAAATATTGTCTCGGTTTCACATTCCAGATGTACGTGCTGTCTATCCTCAGAGGTCAGGAGGACCAGATGCTGTGTCCTGGCTCCTGGGAAGGTCTCTTTATCCTAACAAGGATGGAATCTAGGAAAGAACCCTTGCTTCTTCCAGGGTACCCTGGTGCTCTGAGTGAGAATCCGTCCTTCCTCCCCTTCTTCTCTCAGAAAAGCACAAGACTTGATGCAGGAAGACTCGCACAGTTGAGGGGTTTGAAAGAATAAAAATGGCCAGGTTTCCAACCAGCCCCTATGGTCAAGTATAAGGGCCCAGTACTCAGACAAGTTAACTCCAGTGGACAGAAAGCTCTTGCTTGCTGGGACTCGGGAGTTCCTGTTGCTGAATATAATCAGAAAGGCCACAGCAATCTAGTCCCTTAGCCTGGAGGCTGTCCTGGAAAATGCAAGAAAGTTCCATCAGAGTTAGAGATTTTGCAGGAAGAGAAGCTTTTATTTCTCTCCTGTGTGTGCAGGCATAAAATTCTGTGCCAACTGGCACCTTTGGCAGTGAGTGTCCCAGCCTAACCTGCTTTGCCCAGGCAAGACAGCTTGCAGTATGGTGGCCTGGGTGAAATCACTCTCAGATAGTGCTGCAGGGCTTCCAAAGCGAGGACCAGCATCCCTACCACTGAAACTCAGTGTGGTCCTTGTACATTTGATGGAAAATGCCAAGGAGCAGATGAAAGAGATCTTCTGTCTATAAATACCTTCAGCTTTTTACACCCACTCTCTTGACAAATTCCAGAGGGACCCAGGCTCGCCGTGCAAAAAGACCATTTGTGTAGCTCCTACTTTTCTCAGCCCTTCAATCTGCTTTTTCCAGAAAGGTCCAGCTGACATCATCGGCAGTCGTCCACCCCTTAGAAATTGTCACCTCCAGGAGAGGAGAGCAGTATGGAGTAATTGGAAGGGAGGGTGGCGAGAGGTTGGTCACTAAACAGTGAGTTACAGTTAGAGGGGAACCAGTTCTCGTGTACTGTTGCACAGGAAGGTGACTAGAGGTGATGCTCATGTCCTATATATCTTTAAAAGCTAGGAGAAAGGATTTTGAATGTTTTTGCCATAAAGTAATGGTTACTGGCTGGGGATTTAGCTCAGTGGTGCCACCACCTGCCTTGCAAGATCCCGAGTTCAATCCCCAGTACAAAAAAAAAAAAAAATGATAACTGAGGGGACAGATATGTTTAAGCAGATTTAAACATTGCACTTTCTATTCTATACATGTATTAAAATATCACATGGGATCCCACAAATAGACACAATTTTTATGTTTTCATGTATCAGTTAAAATTCCTGTCTGGGTGTGGTAGTGCATGCCTGTAATCCCAGCACTGGGGAGGAAGAAGCAGGAGGATTTCCATGAGTTCAAAGCTACCCTATGCTACATAGTGAGTCCAAAAGGCCCCCTGAACAAAATACTGAGACACTGTATCAAAAATATGTTTACATTTTAAAATAAAAGAAAATATAATTTAGTAAAATAATCTAGAGAAAGACAAATAAAAGCACCAGTTGGCAGGTTTCCACTTTGGAAGGGCTCTTCTTTTGTTCTCCATAACCTGTACATTAATCCAGTCTCTTGGCCTCAGCATGATGGACATTTTGGACCCGATTCTTGGATAGAGGGCTGTGTAGTGCATTATGGGATGTTTGGTAGCACCTCTGACCTCTGCCCTGTAGGGGACAGCACCACCCACTCCAAATGACAACCAGAAATATCCCAGACACTACCGCATGTCCCCCAGTGGAGAGCCACTGATATAATTTGAAAGGATGAGGTAGAAGAAATGTGCTTCAATGTATCTTTCAGTCTTAAAATTCATGTGCATCACTGTAAGACAATAACCTGGTGTTGCTTTTCCTGGTGGCCAGGCAGTCACAACATGGGTGTCACCCAGGTACCCTGCATGTGGTGAGTGGCCTGTGTCAAGTCACACCCTCCTCCTGCAAAGACGTCATCCCCTGGCTGGGCAGATCATCAGTAATACCCAGAGGATCTAGTGGAAGGCAAACAAAATGTTTCTGGAACTTTCTAAACACATACTTAACTTTTCTCCTAAAAGCAGAAAAGTATTCAGACCTGAGGGAGATGACATTGCAGGATCCAGTCAGGAAAACACTAGGGACAGATGTGCACTGGGCACTCCCCAGGCATCTGTACTGTATTGTGCCAAACAGGTTAGCTTTCTGGTGAAGGGGCTTCATTTTTAATCCCTTCCCAGGTCACCTACGTCAGTACAACCACTTTCTCAGCTGAGTTACACAATCTGAATTTTAGAAATCAACTTTGAGATGTGTCTTATGGAAAAAGCATTTAAAGTATCCACCTTAAAATAAATCTCAATACAAACTCTAAAAGCAACACAGTGAATGCATCTGCTGAGTGGGAAAGCATTGTCCATGCTAAACCTTTTACATACAAGCACTCCAAACACTGCACCCAGCAGAGGGACTCAGTAGATATTTTTCCCTGAATGCATTTTTTTGATGTTGAGAAACGCTTCTATATGCATCTGAGTTAACAAACCCCCTCCCAACGTAGGAATAACATAAATGCTTTCAGAGGGCTCCTCCTCCAGGAGCTACTTTTGTGGCAGTGAGTGTAGGCAGAGGTCTACCTTGGCCAACGGGCACAGTTTCTGTTTGGAAGGCATTGATTTGGCCTTATATTTTACAATAAATGCTTACTACTGAACTCAACCTGGTATTGGGGGAGGACTATAAGATACGGCTGATGTCTTCTAGTGAGGATGATAAGATTTCCCATTTAGCTCAGTAGCATTTCCATCATTAAGCTACTGAAGCAATGCCCATGGCTAAATTTTATTTATGATACCAAGCAGTGAACTTTTCTATGGAGCCTGTAGTATATTGCAAGCACTATTCCCAGGCCGGGCATTTCTATGCAAACCGTCCTGTGTGCACAACAGAAAAGTGGTCTGAAGCTATTCATGGAAATACTCTGAGGATTACAAAACAAAGCCCATGTCAGAAAATGGGTCCATGAGCTTCCATAAAAGCATCTCTAAGGAGCTTTCCAATGTTATGTTTTCTGCAGGCATTAGATGGCTTCATCATCGCGGTGACCACAGATGGCAGCATCTTGTACGTCTCTGACAGCATCACACCACTCCTTGGGCACTTGCCGGTGAGTCACAGCACCGATGGCTTTTGCTGTGCACACTGTCATATTTTCCTGGAGTCTGTTAGCTGGGAGTTGGTACAGGTGGGGAATCTGTGTGGGAGAGGCGAATGCTTGAGAGCCAGGAGTCCTGAGGGAGCAGACCAGGACAAGCTCAGGGTCCCTGATGAAGGGCAGGTACAGCCTTTTGTCATCCTGGGACAAGTATGACACCACAGTCTCAACAAAGTTAAGCCAAGAGTAGGGCACAGCCTGTCATCTTGACACAAGAGTCACAGAACAGTTAGCAGAGCTCAGGGGATACCAGACATCCCCAGTCAACTGAGAGGGGACCCGAGGAAGAAGCAAGAGATGGCTCAGACTGGGGTGAGCTTGGGGATTCCCTGAGGCCATGTCTGAGGTCACAAGAAGGTTGTGGTGCTCCATAGCGGTGAGTGTTTGGCAGCGGGAACAAATCCTGGGAAGACGTTGATGGACCTGAGTCTTGGAAGAACTCATGGAGAGTTTGAGGAGGCTGGGAGGAGAGGCCAGCTCTGCAGCCAGGCCGGCCATGGAGGCTGGAGATTGCATGGCCACGGGTGTTACAGGCTCTGGCAGACAGATGTCCCTCCCCACTCATGCCCTCCCTTCCTCTCCCTCCTTCCTCTCTCCATCCCTGCCTTACCCCTCTCTGCACAATCCCTGCCGACTCCTGAGTCACCCCAACTCACAGATCTGTGGCAGAACAACAGAGGACCCACTCTCAAAGGTTCCTCACAGGCCCCAGCCAGCCTTCCACTTCCTCCCACCATTTATTCCTGCAGCACCTGACCATGAACATCAGCACTCCAGAAGCATCATGGTGATGGGGATAAATCATTCTCAAATCTCTTTCCTTCCTCCAAGCCCAGCCAATCACCAACCCACCCCCGATACGGTATGCAGCTCAACAATTCTGCCTTTGCTTCAGTTTGTACCTACTCATTCCTTGGGGTGAGCCCAGGACATATCCACAGAGGTGAAAGCATTTCAGAAGCCCTTGGGGGCTGGGCTTGGTAGTCCACACCTGTAATCCTAGCACTCTAGAAGGCTGAGGCAGGAAAATCACAAATCAGAGGCCAACCTGGGCAATTTAGCAACCTTGCCTCATAATAAAGAATTAAAAATGGCTAGCTCAGTCATCTCCAGTACTGGGAGAGCAGGGAGAATCTCTAGAGGACAAAGAATCAGAATGGGAAGGACCAGCAAGTGTGTGACAGAACAGCAGGGCTGAAAGCAAACAGCCAGCTGTGTGGGTAAGGGCTCACTGGGAGACACCTGGCCATCTGGGACCCAGTGCTGGCCAGGACAGGAGGCCACCGTCCATCCCCTGAAGCACTGGCCTGTGGGTGTCACACCCATTGCAGGAGCCCCCCGCCCCTGTGTCCTGGGGGCTGGCAGGGTCATAGCAGGCCAAGGTCGCTCCCTTCCTCTTAGTACTGATGCTGAGTGCTCCATTGGGAGCCTTTGGCATGGCTTTGTTCCTGATGAAATCTTAGAACTTTTCTTTGCTAGCTTGACAAAGAAAAAAAAATAGCTCAAAGCAGAGAATGATTTTGGGATGGAGTCAGCACCGAGCCACCATGTAGTGGGAGGAGTCTTTCCAGGTGTCTAGAGGCAGAAAGGTGTATTTCTGGGAGGCCTGGGGCTCACATAGTGCAGAAGTGAGAAATGTGTGTGTGGATGACCCAGTCTCCCCAGAAGGAAACAATGTCAGGCTCAAGCATTTATGAAGCAGGAGAGACCAACAGGCTATCGGATGTAGCCAGAGTGCTTTGGATTTAGGGTTTTTCAGTTATTGGACTGTTTGCATATATTTGGATATGCTTAAATATTTGCATAGTGAGCATCTTGTCAAAACACAAAATGTATTTATATTTCCTATACACCTTACACACAGCCTGAAGTTAACTTTGTACAATATATTTGAGAATTTTGTGCATGAAAGTTTCCTGCTATGGAATTTTCCACCTGTAGCACCACACCAGCCCCTAAAAGCTGTGGACGGTGGATTTTTGCTTTAGGGATGCTTAACCTGCCTAACAAGCCTTTTGCCTAGCATCATACAAGTTCTCCTCCGTAATGGAAACAGACTCTTTGACAGCTCCTTGTGCTAAGCTGTTGGTGAGATTTGCTGCCTTCCACCACTCCGTGCCACTGACCCAGGTTTTCCTAGTGCAGTGCTCCCAAATTCCACTACAGGAGGGCACTACAACCTCTGCACCCTTTCCAGGGGGAACCTTGGAAAGTGCTGGTGTGGTCCATCTGTCATTTCCGGATGGATGTTATAAGTGTCCCTGCTGGGGCCCTCGGGCATGGTCCAGGATATTCCAGGACAGACACCCTGCCTCTGTGCCCTTTTATGTGTCTGTGTGTGTGTGTGTGTGTGTGTGTGTGTGTGTGTGTGCATGTGGTACTGAGAATGGAACTCAAGATCTTCTCACTGAGCTGCATCTCCAGCCCTTTCTTTAATTTTTTATGTTGTGATAGTGTCTCTCTAAATTGCCCGGTTGAGCTCCCAACTTATGATCCTCCTGCCTCAGCTTCCCAGAGTGCTGGGGTTACAGGCATGCACCGTTGCACCCAACCTTCCATGTGCTTCTGTTACAGGCCCACTTCTCCTGCTGGTGTCCTTGAACTGGTGCTGCTGGTTCAAGAGGGAAAGTCTGCAATTTTGCCCGGGGTCCCGTGGCTCCACCCAGGGCAAATGTGGGAGGGATGGGTACAGAATGCAGGGCAGGCTTCCTAGGCCAGCTCAGCAGAGGGCTGGCTCCTGGGCACTGCAGCCTGGGGCAGGTGGGGAAAGAGCCACCTCCTGCACCTGACAGGTAAGGAGGCTGAAGCTAAGGTGACTCTGCTGCTGCAGTGGCACCAGCCCTCCCCTAAGCCCATAATTGCTATTTTATTCAACAGAGCTTGGCTCATTCAAGGAACAGTTCAACTGCTGATGTTATTTACCTGCTGGTCAGCACTAGGGTTTAAATTATCAACTTGTCGCTGTTTGTGGACATTTTCAGCACCCGGAAGTGCATTCTGGGCCCTATGGATTAACCCATCTGCCCACTGCTGCCTCCAAAAGTCACCAGGCCAAGGTGCCCACAGCCTCAGCCCCTGTGCTCCTGGGGGAGTAGCCTCAGATGTACCCCTGCAAGAAAAGACCATGGGGCAACTTAGTTATCATTCTAATGTGTCTGAAATCTCTTTAAGAAGAAAGACTGTCATCCATGGACATTAGTCATCTGCTATAAAAGCTAGAGGGAATGGGCTTAAAATAACATCAAGAACTCAGAAGGAAGGTGGAGAAGCAGGCATGAACTTTGGGGGGATTGATAGAGTTGTTGTCCGTGGAGATAAAACTGGAGCCACCCATCTAAGTTACTGCCTGCTGTGTCCAAGTCCTTACCCAGTAAGATGCTGAAGCCAGGGGCACAGGGATTTTGCCAGCTGTGTGGTGCCCAAACAACCCCTGGCACCTCAGATCCCTGAGTGGTACTGGTTGTAGTATGGCAATGAATGAGTGCTTTGGGCCCTATCCTTTGTCTCTAGGACAAAATACCTGACACCCACAACAAAAAGGTGGAGAGGTTTATTTTGGCTCGTGGTTTGTAGAGGTTCAGTCCATGGTCAGCTGGCAGGGTGGCGTGTCAGAAGAGGATGGCAGAAGAGAAGCTACTTGTGGCATAGTGGCAGGAAGCAGGGGAGAAGGAAAGAGCAGGAAGGAAGATGAACCCTTCCAGACCACCCTGAATGGCCACCTCTTCCAACCAGACCCCGTTTGCCAACAGCAAGCCAGCTTTACACCCCCACAGTGCAGTCTCCTCCCAGGAGCCCCACTTAGGGGTACACGAGGCTTTGGGGTACATCTAGATAGAAACCGTGAGTGTCCTCTTTCCACCCTGCCCTGGCTCTCTTGTTCACATTCTGCTTCACTTACCCTCCCGTCAGCCCTCAGTGGAATCTCCTTAAAACCCAATGACAGCTGCTCCTCTGCTTGCAGCGGCTGCTGCTCCAGTGAACCTGAGAGTTGTAACTATGCTAGATCAAAAGTGCTTTGCACCCACCTAAACGGCAGGACACCTTAGCTGAGCAGCAGTGTCCCAGAGTATCAGTTGTGTCCCTTCATGATCCCGGGAGCCAACTCGGAGCTCTGGTTCAGTATCACCGCTCTGGAGAGAATTGGGCCATGTATTACCATCCCAGGAAGAGATGCCAACTCAGAACTCTTAAGTGCAGTTTCTAATGAATGTGCATTGCTTTCGTACTCTCATAGAGTGGAAGCATCATGACTGGCCCATGTGAAGCCAGGACGTCCACCCTGCCACCCCTCCATGCCTCAAGGCCCTACACAGACTCCTAGGTCCCCCTACATCTGGGCCCCACTTTCCTCTACACCTCCTCTTCTGCAGCTTCCTACACACACACACACACACACACACACACAAGCACACAATACTTAGTGGCCCCCACCTGCCTGGAGCACCATGTCCCCCAGACCCCACTCAAGGATCCCTCCCTCTGGGAATCATTCCCTGTGAGTCCCCTACCCCCACCCAGGAGTCAGCACAGCACTTCAGTATTCTCTGTGTGGCACCTTGTTTGCTGGCCACGTCTTTCTCAGCTGGGCATTGCCTTTGTGTTGAAGGCCAAGAATGTTCTGACAACATCAGGAATACCAAGTGAGCAATGCTCAGGTGCTCCTGTGGGTACGAAGGAGACAGAGATGAATCGGCTCCTCCATAAACAACAAAACGCCACTGCGTAGCCAGGCATGGTGGTGCACACACCAACACTCTGGGAGGCTGAGTCAGGAGCTCAGCCTGGGTAAATGAGCAAGTTGGTGAGACCCTGCCTCAAAATGTAAAAGCATAAAAAAGGGCTGGGGATGCAGCTCAGTATGAAGACCCTGGGTTCAATCTTCAGTATGGCAAAAAAGGAAAAGAAGAGGCCAGCAAGGTGGAGATGCGTCTGTGTCATCCAGGAAATGCTCACTCAGCACGTCATCACCCCTGCATTTATCCAAGGCTTGCTGTGTGCTGTTTAACTCAAGCAGCGACACTCAGTGGTGTCTAATCATCACTTTGCCATGACCGGGCCACACTCACACAGCTGGCAAGTGTGGTAGCAGAGGGACCCAGCATGGGCGGATCATCTGGAATAAGAGGTGACATGGTCCAGGCAGAGACAGAAGCCCTAGAAACAGACACGATGGAGGAGGGAGAGTTAGAGTAGTGCGCGTGCACACAGTGCAGAGGTCCAGGTGCAAAAGGAAGGAGCCAAAGGTGCTACTGGGTGTGTGGTGTGAGGCGTGGCCAGATGACCACTTCCTGTGCAGCGCATGTAGGTGGGGCTGAGCAAGGATGTGGTGGACACATGTGACTCTGAGTGGCAGCTGGAAGGTTGAGCCCAAGCATCCGGGTATATGTAGGTGGCATTAGAAGCTGTGGGTGTGCATGAGTCTACTGAGGGAGACTGAGGCAGGGAGCAACGTACCTGTCTCCTCTTTCTATGGTGAGCTCCTCCCTGCTCTCTCCAGTGTGATTATCACTAGTCACATGTGGCTCTTCAGATTTCAGTGAAAACAGGATGAAGTGTGAAATAGGAAGTACATGGCTAAAGGGGAAGTGGAAGGGGAGGGGAAAGGAAATAAGGGAAAAGAAAAAACATGAAAAAAGGAAAAAATGGAAACAAAGTCTTTGTAAATAGGGTAGGGTGAAGGGGGTGAAGGGAGGGCAGGGGTATGGGAAAAAAAGAAGAACCAAGATCTGTCATGTAAGGATACAAGATCCCAGTGATAAATGTAACTGTATTGTTTGCTTTAAATGCACCAATAAACTTAATGGGGAAAAAAGAGAAAACGGGATGAAATTGAAACTTCAGTTCCTCAGCAACCCTGTGGCCAGAAGCTCCCATAATCATGCAAATTCAAGGCCATTTCCCTCTTCTGGGGTGGTGTTATGGGACAAAGCTGTATCCAGACTCTCTGTCTTTCATTGATTTTGTATACTGGTGTCTAGGCATTGAGAAGAAAAGGGCAACTCCATCCATGAGTGATCTTTAAGAACTCAATAGATGGCCTTTGCCAGCCTATAGGTCAAGGAAGGTCCCCGTCTTGCTTGGCCCAGTTTAAATGAGCGATCAGAGGCTGTGGGGCGGCACACGCATCACCCGCTCTGCCCAGCGGGAATGCAGAGCATGGGTAGATCAGGCTTCTCCGGCAAGCGGGGCCTCCATGTCTATGTGCCTGACAGGCAGGGCCCTGCATTCTTTGAAACAGTTGAGCAAGTACAGGGGACCCTCTGCGTCCCCTGGTTCCCCACCACAGGACTCATCCAACTACAGACTGACAATGTTTGAAAAAAATTGTGTCTGTGCTGAACATGTATGAACATTTTTCTTGTCATTATTCCCCAAACAATAAAATGTAACAACTATTGAAAGCATTTGTTACACTGTATTGAGGATTCTAATTTGAAGTATATAAGAGCATGTGTGTAGCTTCCCGGCAAATACTACACCATCTTTCTATGAGACTCGGGCCTCCATGGACTTCAGTACCCACAGGAGGTCCTAGGACACCGGGGACAACTCTAAAACCTCCTATTTGTACTTTTATTGACTTATTTCATGATGCTGGGGATGGGACCCAGGGCCTCATGCTATGCAAGTCTCTGCCACTGAGCCTTTGCCACAGCAGCCCCTGGAAAACCTTTCAGACTGTGATTCAAAATTCTCTTCGCAGAGAATCAGGTCTTGGACTTTCTGTTTCAGAAACCAGTTCCAAACTGTGAAGAGCACCTAGTTTTTACCCTCACTTTCATTGATCATTTTTGTGGAATGTGCACTTTTGTTCTTTATTTTCTGTTGCAGTCAGATGTCATGGATCAGAATTTGTTAAATTTCCTCCCGGAACAAGAACATTCTGAAGTTTATAAAATGCTTTCTTCTCATATGCTTCTGACGGATTCCCCCTCCCCAGAATTCCTAAAATGTAAGTTACACATTACTGGGTTTACCAGATCTAAAAAGATAAGAACTTTACTTTTGAAACAAAGTTAGAATGAATTAAGAAGGGAGGACTAATTTTCTTTATGACTCAGAACATTTCTGAGATCCTTCAAGCTATATTTTAAGTTTAGAGCTAAAACTGGAGTTTGGAATACATAAGACATTCAGCTTTTATTTGAAAAATTTGAAAGCACAGCACTTAAGGGTAATAACCTGTTTTGCAAGTATGACAAGAAATTCTTTTTTTGACATGAGAGTCTTTTAGTAACAAACAATGAAAATTGTTATTTCGGGGGACAATAAAATGCTAAGTTTGTATAATACCAACCAACTTCATGATTGAATAATTAGGTCAAAAATTCAAATTCTGTCTTCTGAGGCTGTCATCTGGTTATTTTCATTTGTATTTGTATGGACTCTTAAAGTTCCTATCAAAATATTTGGCAACCTGGCTAGCAGGTGGCCGTGGTGGCGGTAAACTGTGTCACTTAATGAAGCATATAGAGTTGCATGCAGAAGCAAGGATGCTTGGCTTTTTTCAGGCCTCGGTCTATTTTCCATGAATAATTTGCCCTGTCATGCATCTGATTTTACCTCAAAGAAAAGCAAAAAGATTAAGTTAAAGAGAATGGCTCTATACGAGCAGCTTTATTTTAATATACCATATGAAACAACCAGAAGTAATCAATGCTTACATAACCCACCACAGACATCTGTGAGCAAATTAAGACTAATTGGGTCCAAGTATAGAATGCGGAATATGTATGAGCTAAGGGGAAAAAAAATGCTACAGGTTAGAAGCCAGGTTCGGGAGTCAGTCATAATGAGAGAAATATGTGGGCCAGGCCTGGGCTCAGTCCCGCCAGGGTCTGCAGGGAGAGACTTGTTTAGTCTACAATCTGGGTAATGTTCATCTTCCTTTCTCTCCCCTTCTTCCGTTAATGGCCCAGCTGACAACGATTTAGAGTTTTATTGCCATCTTCTCAGAGGCAGCTTGAACCCAAAGGAATTTCCAACTTATGAATACATAAAATTTGTAGGAAATTTTCGCTCTTACAACAATGGTAAGCTTTAATTGTCCTATAATTGCGACAGTGTCTTTTATCTTGCAAATGTGTGCTTGGGGACCCAAATGGGGGGGGGTAGGGAGAGTGTGCACTTTTCATATTTGCGCTTGGATTTTTCCTGCTCCCAAATGTGTTTTTCATGTTCCTCAATGCATTCCCGTTCAGGAGGAACACACTCCCACACCTGTTTCTGCCAGGCCCACAGCCCCCCGAAATGTGTATGATTCGTTCATTTTCAAGCCGTTGAAAAAAACTCTACTGTGAGAAACAACTTACAGCTAATAAAAAAAACAGGCTCAGCCTACACACTGCCACACTTCACAGTGATACAGAAATCATATCCTTGCTTTCTTTTTTGGTTTTTTTTTTTTGTTTTTTTTTTTTGAGACAGGATCTTTGCTGTGTAGTTCCAACTTGCTTTGTAGTTCCTAAACTCACTATGTAGCCCATGCTGACCTTGAATTCACAGTGATCCTCCTGCCTCAGCCCTGAGTGCTGGGATCACAGGCGTGCGCCACCACTCCCAGCCTATAACCCTACTTTCTGCATTATCTCCTCTTTCCTGTCCTGCTGCAGCGCGCTGTCAGAGACTTGGCTGTGGATCTTCTGCTTAGTGTGGCCCTCATGTACAGTATGGGGCTGTTTTACCAGGAGCCTGCAGGTTGCTCTGGATACATGGTCAAGCCAGAGACGACAGGCAGTAAAGTCTTATTCTTGAAAATTACTCCAGTAACTAGTTGTCCAAACTCTGACTGCAAAAGCATGAACTCTGAACTAGACTTCGGCATTCCTTTTTACCTCTCACCCATGCCAGGGCACAGGCAGTGCTGATGCCAGGAATTCAGAGACCAATCTCATTGTGGGCCCAGCACAGAAAGCCCGCATTTTATTTGCTGTGCTCCTCAAAACTCAACACGAAACAAATAGTTTTGAGAGAGCTGATATTTCATCAAACAGCAAAGATGGGGGAAAATAGAAAGCAGTATTGATAGGGAGTGGGGAGGGGAGAAAGGAGGGAAAAAGAAAAAATACGAAAGAAAAACAAAGATGACAGCAGAGATGTGGAAATGAAGGGGAGGGCAGTGGGAGAGAAGACAGGAAACAAGGATGGCACTCAGCCCGCTGCTTTCCTTGTTGTTGTTTAGCTCTTGACCCCTGAGCACCTGTTATCCCAGCCATTTAGTCTCCCAGTGCCCGAGAACCACCGAAAGTGCTGGCATCAGAGTGCCAGGGCTGAACTCACCAGGATTTTTCCTTCACCCTCAAATGGCCCTGTGTAGCCCCCATCATTTGCATAAATACATAAAGCTTTGAAAAGCTTCAACCCTGTGCCAAATGGTCCCGCACCCAGGCTTTCACCTGGATTGTGGACTCCCGGGCAGACCTGGAGACTGTACCTACCAAGGGGCCCAGAGGCCTGAGTGTCTAGAAGTGGTAGGGAGTCCACTTCCCAAAGGAGGATGCCAAATCTGGGCAGTCTACAGGCATACCACCCTGAACATGCCTAATCTTGTCCAAATCTGAGTAAAGCCAAACAATACCAAGGCAAGACCACATCTAATCCCACTCACCAGAAAGGCCTGCCCAAAATTCAGGAGACAAATGTTTAATAGATCACACAAAGAAGTAAAGGAAAGCCCCTGGGCTGTGCCTCATAGAAAACCCAACAGAAAACCAACCCCGGATAGTGCATCTTAGAATGTGGCTAAATGCAGATCCTTAGGCCTTGTCCTGAAGATGCTTAGGCCCAGGAATCTGAGGTTCTAATTCAAGGTGTCATGGATTATTATTTGTAGTAACTATAAGGGAGAAGCAACCCAAATGCCACCTGGGGTGAACAGATAAAGGTGTGGTATGTCCTTTCAGTGGGGTTATCACTCAGCCTTGAAAAGGAAAGAATTCTGACAAGTGCTGCAGCATGGAAGCACTTTGAAGAACATAAGCTCCGCTTAGAGGAGGTACCCAGTATGGTGAGGTTCATAGAGACAAAATGGTACTGGCCAGAGTCTGGGGAGGGAGAAATTGTTGAATGAGTCGAGTTTGTTTTGCAAGCTGAAGGCAGTGGGTGGTGAAAGTTGTGGGAGAAGATGAGTGAGTAAAAAAGAGGATGGAGCCTGGGTAGCTCAGTGGTAGAGCACCTAGCCGCCAGATCCTGGGGAGGGGCTGTGGGCATCGTGGGATGCCACCCTCACGTGTCCCCATGACAACAGTGCACAGCTGCAGCTCTAATTCAAAGACTTGCCCATGATTGGCTGGTGAATGGTGGGCTGAGCCTTTGTGCATTTGTATTTCGGCAGCTCTCACCTAGATGCTGCTAGTCAGTATTTTGAAGCACTTCTTGTTTATCTCATCTTTAAGGATTGTGAGGAAACAGGCAGGCTTCATTTTATGAATACCTGAGTTTTTTTGTTTTGTTTTGTTCTGTTTTTTTAACTGGCAAGACTTTATTTTCACTTCCAGTTTGTTTGCTTGGAAGAATGTGTGGAAATTGTGTATGTGTGTTACAAGAAGAAACGTACTGCTTAGCACCCAACATTAACAGTAGAAAATATAAAACCAGCCCAGGATTTAGCTCAATGGTTCCGGTGCCTGCTTTGCAAGGACTCACCATGCAATGCGCGTGCTGGTCAGTGAGACAGAAGTAAGATCTAGTGTTCCGTTGTTGATGGTGACAGCAGAAAAGGGTTGTTTCTGCATACTTCAAAACACTGAAGAAAAGGTACTGAATGTCCTCACCATGAAGATTTGATGAATGACTGAGGCAGTACATACACTTACTGATGTGAACATTTCACACTGTGTGCATGTACTGGAATGTTACATGACCACATTAACACGTGCAGTTCTGTGAATGTGTGCACATTGTGCTGGGGACTGAACCTAGGGCCTCAGCCTGAGCTACATCCCCAGACTTTTATGTTTTTTTTGGTTTTTTGTTTGTTTGTTTTTGAGACAGAGTCTCACTAAGTTGCCCAGACTGGGCTCAAACTTGAAATCCTCCTGCCTCCGCCTCACAGAATGCTGGGATTACAGATGTGCGACACCACACACAGCTTTAGTTTGTGTGATTTTTTTGTGCAAGGAAGAGAGAGGGCGAGACAGACTAGGAGGGCTTTGGGTAAACCTTGAATAGAGAGATAACCATCCTGTCTGCTCATTTGCTAGCCCAGGTAGCTGCGGGGATTTGTCAGGCTCAATAACCAGTGAGAGTGGGTTGAGCTGGTGGGCATCTGTGGGGATAGGGGGACAGGAGTGCCTTTGTCCTTGCTAATGACATTATCCTCTCAAATGGGAAGTTTCCAGGTTCAGCAGTACCATGGCAATTGTTGCCCAAATAGGATCCCCCCATTCAATAGGACACATCTTGATAATGCTTAGGGTGTCATCATCTGCCCCCAACAGTCTTGGAGCAGGGGGGAGATAGGAGCCAGGACTTCAGCTCTTTGAGGGGTTGGGGGTTGAGGGTCTCCCTGTGTAGTTCAGACTGGCCTTAAAGTCACTGTATACCCCAGGCTGGCCTCCGACTTGTGGCGATCCTCCAGCCTCACTCTCCTGAGTGCTCATATTAAGATTACAGGTGTGTGCCACCTCACCTGGCTTAACTTCACCTTTTAACCAAGAATTTTAACACATATGGAGATTTGAGTGCTGGGAAGTGGACCCGGAAGTGTCGCTCTCCTAAATGCTCAGGTGAGGATGGTTTGTGAGCGAGTCTCCAGGAGGTGCTCCTGGAGCATCTGGGCTGGGATTGGTGACCACGTGTCCCATCCTGTCTGTGAGAAGGTGACTCAGAGAATGAAGTGGGAACAAAGAACTTTGTTCAAGTCATCCTTGTCCTGTGACAAATACCTTAAAAGGGAGGAGGAAGAGGAGAAGAAAGAGAAGCAAGGAGAGGAAAGGGGAGAAGGGAAGGAGGGAGAGACCACAGAGGCCCCCTTGGACAAATACACCAACCCTCTTTTTACTTTTCCAACTGTGGAGTGCATGGAGCCTTTGGGAACCCACCCCATAGTGCCACACAGACCCCACCACTCTGCAGGCAAAGACCTGGGGGGGTCCTCAAAGGCCAGATGAGCAGCCTCTGCTGTCGAGGGTCCTCAGAAGCAACTCCAGCACTGAATAGAGCTCCTGTCTCTGTGCCCTTGCTCCTCCCCCAGACTTGGATCTAAATATGTGTCCAACTGAAATCCAGAGCACAGTTATTTCAAAAGCCACTGGTGAGGTTCCAAATAGGTCACCCTCAGCAAACATTCCACTCTGGGCTTTCCAGAAACCGCACACCAGAGTATAAAAGTTTCCTTGCCCTCGTTTTCCCTGCTGGCTTCTAACCACACAACCAGATTTGCGAGCCTGGCAGAGCAGAGGCCTCTCAGCTCCTGACACTTGATTCCATGTGTCCTGGGGATTTCTGTATCTTGCCTCATTCAATGGCTTTAAGGTTGTTGGGTTTGTTTTGCTTTGTTTCTTTTTCTTTTTCTCCCTTCATGTTTTTCCCCTGAGCTGAGTTAATTGAGATGTCAGTTAAGGGGTTGAGGCACTTGCACACCAGACAAAGAATGGAGACTTGAACTTGGACAGCTGGAGGAAGGAGAGTCCCATGTGTCCACCTTCAGCCCCTCTGAGGAGGCAGGATGTTCCCCACACACTGCAGACAGCAGCATGGCCGCCCCCACAAAAGTCACTGCTGCTGGATCAGATTGCACGGGGCTCAGATTAGGCTAAAGAACACTTCTTACGCAAGGGCATCATTGCCCTGCAAAGCCTTGTAAGGTCTGTGTTACAGGGATCAATGAGAGCTGGTCCTGCACATATCAGCCATGTCTTCCTGCCTGCTTCTGTCCCATAGTTGTAATAAAAGCACACAAGATAGCCACTTGGGAGACAGGGATAAAGGCCACTAGGAAGTATATGCTACTGGCATAAAAATAATTTGACCCTGTCCACACCAACCCTCTAGTGGATAAATTAGCAATGCCATTACAGTCCTCAGCACCATT